TATTTATTGATTAGTTAGTGAATAATTGTAACATGTTGAACATTTTTAATTCACTGCTTTATGAAACTATAATTTGACTTGTCATTTGAATTTGTATTTGAACTAAGTTTGAAATAAGTGAGGTTAGGAAAATGTTAATTATGATGATTTGGCATCATTAACAGTGGTTTACTATAGCTTAACTATCGGGGTGTCACAAATCTCCTCCACTACAAGAAATCTCGTCCCGAGATTTAAGAGGTGAAGTAAGCATGACAATTCTAGATTTCTAGTTATGAAATTCTAGCAGATCTTTTCGTTCTGGGTTGCTCTTTGAAGAAGTCGATCCCTTGCGTTGATGGCTTCATTTCTCTTCTTCGGGTCATAATGATGAAGTCATCATCTTTTCCTCGGATCTTCATCGTAGTTACGGAAAAGATAAAAGGGGGAAAATCGCAAGAAAGGACGGAGCTCAACACATGGTAGGCACCTCAGGCTATCTCGGTGAATGAGGCATAGAGGAATTTCTCGAGTTGAAATTTAGAAAAATGCCGAGAGCAAAGTAAGAAGGTGCAAATAGAATGTTTCAAGCAGACAGGCAACCACTTGTTGCCTGAAACATAGTGCGAAAGGGGTTCGGAGCAACGAAAATAATTATTGCGCTTAATACTAAAGTAGATTATCTCTAGACTAGAAAGGTGGCTCGTGAATCTTATACGAAGCCAAGTGGGTGGAATAACTTTGGAATCTCGTACGGAGAATATGTGTTTTTACAGCCGAAAGTGTGCGCATGATTTTTATATTATAAAACAAAGTAGAGAATTTTGCTTTATTTTTCTTGACGTTGAAGGAGACGTCAAAATGGGTATACGTTTTCCTCCAGGAGAAACGGGAAACCAAACCCCCAAAGGAAAATCAATCCCCTCCTCCGTTCCCCACTCCACTCCACCACAATGGCGTCGCCGGCGCCGCCCTTCACCGATGCCCCGCCGGCGCCACCCTGCATCCCCGACGCCTCGCCGACGGTGGAGGCGCAGGCGACCCTCCCGGACCACCTGACGGAGGACATCCTCCTCCGCCTCACCACGGCCGCCGACCTCGCCCGCGCCTCCATGGCCGGGCCCTCCCTCCGCCGCATAATCGCCGATCACTCCTTTCTCTGTCGCTTCCGCGCCCTCCACCCGCCATCTCTCCTGGGTGTGATCTCGTGCTCCTTCGTACCGTCCGAGCCACCCCATCCCTCCGCCGCCGCCGCCCGAGCACTCGCTGGCACTGACTTCTCCTGCTCCTTCCTCCCGTCCCGCGAGCAGCCCTGGTGTCGCTGCGACTTCCGCGACGGCCGCGCCCTCTTATGCGTCTTCCACTTTCTTAGCTATCTCCTATAAGATGCGCCGGCCACGTAACGTGACGTTTTTTTTTGAGAATTTTTTTCTTTCATATCATGAATCGGTATAAAGAAGTTGACCCGTACAAGCACACTGAAACGCAAACACAAAGGACCATGAACACCTAAAGTACTCTAAGACAACCATAGCACAAGAAGATCTCCGGAGCCCTGTGTCATCATCCCTGAATCTTGAGAGAAGACCCCTGCAGCAGAAGGATCTGCAACCAGTCGCAAGCAGGTCATCATCTTCGACCACGCTACAATTGCCGCCACGTTGCTTCCTCTTTTCTTGACACCAGCGCTGAGAGGGCATGGACATCAATCCAACACACCTGCAACAGTCGTCGCCATCTTTGGCTTTGAGTACCGTGAAAAGTGTCCCTTCTGAAGGGAAGAGAACTCGAGTCATCCGACCGGTCCAGCACCGCGGTCGGGCCATCCGCCCGGACAAAGCAGGATCTCCCACCAGCATCAGCACAGAGGAAGGAGAAGAACAGCAGCAGCAAATCATATCAACAAGGAAGAAGAAGGGTCTTCGTCTCCCAGAATCCATCGCCCATCTGAGTACCCAAACGGCCAGTGCCGATGGACCTCCAGCCACCAAAGCCCGCGACCTCGATGAGACCCGGGAATCCCCAACTCCGCTGGCTCCTAGACGAAGGCAAAAGCCTCGCCTGACCGCAAACGGAACCCGGAGAAACTTATTCCGACGCCACACCGCCGCAACGGCCTCGGCAGCGTCTCCCTCAACCCTAACCCTACCACACACCCACCTAGCGAACAGACCCGAGGTTCCCCCTCCCTCCCGCCGCCGGAGCGGCCGACGGAGACAGAGGGAACCGGAGGTGTCACCGGTGGCGCGCAAGGGTCTCGTCGCCTCCTGATCGTAACCTGACATGTTGTCATGTTTAACACTTGCTACTTTGCTAACAAATAGCCAAACGCCAATGAGCACACATATAAGTCTTTATCTTTACCTAATATTAAAGGGAGTATTGTTTCTCCACTTTTTTTTGGTCTAGCCTGGGCTGGTTTCGTACGTGGAGTCACAAATTTCATACGTCGCTCCTGAGTTTTCTTTTTCTTTTCTTTTGAAAACCATCTGCACGTCGGCATGTCCTTTCTGAGCTTTTTTTCCTTTTTGAAAAAAAGAAAGAAAAAAAGAACCCAAGGGAGGATCAAACACAAGACCTGCTGGTTTAGGGCAAAGGTGCTAGCCACTCGCCCTAACAGGGTTATGTATTGAAATGCAGCGCTATTCTATACATATACACAGGATATTTCTGATGTTTTTTTTTTGTTGGAAAACCAGCGAAAAATAGGAGGCCCTTGGGAGGATTGAACACTGGGCCTTTAATTTGCAAGCGAACGTGGTAGCCGCTCAACTAGATCGAGTTTGGTGACAAAATTGGCGCTGGGCCATAAATATACACACTGAACATTTTTTAGTATACGGTGAATATTTTTTTTAATGTAATTTTTTAACTAGCAACAAAATTCTGAAATGTTTGAAAATAAAAGTGAATTTAAAAATACACACTGAAATTTTTTTAGTATACGGTGCACATTTTTCAAATACACACTGAACTTTTCTTAATATACGGTGATTTTTTAAAATGCACACTGAGCATATTTCCTATACACGATGAACTTCTCTTATATACAGCGAAGAGTTTTCAAATGTATGGTGAACCTTTTTTTCTATATACGGTGAACTTTTTTTATTACGTGAATTTTTTTAACAACATGAATAAATTTTGGAATTACCAACTTCCATTTTAAAAGGATACGAACATTTTCTAAAAAATTGAACGAATTTTGAAATTCTGAATGAAAGGTTCAAAAAAGTTGGCCATCTAAACGCTGCCTCCAGCGAAGCGGCAATGTTTTGACGCTCACAAGGGTCAAATAGAATCGGCGGGGTTTCGTACACCGAGTCACAATTTGTGTACGTCATTCCTTCTGCGAAGAAGCCTTGGTGAACACTCTTCTCTCATGGACCCGAGCCTAATTGAGTTTCATTTTTTTTGGAAAATCAGCAAAAAAAATATGTGCATTAGTGGGATTCAAACGGCTACATGAGGTGCAAATCCCTTGAGATTCAGAGTCATGTGCTTGGCCAAATACCAGACCCAGCTGGTCATATTCGTCTTCTCTTTGTCTGGCCCCCGTGCCGGACAATGGCATGCCGTCGCATTTGATGGTTGGAGCGCTCTGGTTGCACAAGTTAGTCAAGGCCAAGATGTGCGATCCTCCACTGCGTTCGGATGCTTCTGCTGGGCGATACCTGGGATCGGCAAGTTGCTCATGCTCGACATTGCCACGATGGAGTTCTCCTCGGTCGACCTCCCGCCTAGACGTGTGTCGTATTATTACTTTTCTCCCGTTGCAACGCACGTGCATTTGTACTAGTTTCTCTTAAGTCTGGAACTTGCAACCTTGCAAGCATCGGAAGCAGCCATCTAAAAAAAGGGCAACACCATGTATGAGAATCAGACTGCCAAGTTATTCATGCTCGACATTGCCACCATGGAGTTCTCCTCGGTCGACCTCCCGCCTAGTCCCTGGAGCAATTCCCAGATGGCCTTTGTGGAGGCAAGGCAAGGGAGGATTGGGTTGTTTGCTCTCAGCCACAATCGCCTCTTGTATTCCATTTCGGGGACCCCCCAAGGCTGTGGCTACATGTTGTTGACTCGAGTGTCCTCAAAGCTCGATCACCCTGTTGGTTGATTTGGCCATGTCCTGGGATCCTTTCATGTCCTCAAAGCCCACATGCATGCCACATGTTGGTTGATTTGGCATATTAGATGGGTAGATGGGTCGTCCACCGGCCGACCTGACCTGCCTCGTATATATTAGAGATGGGTGCTGCAGACTGTTAATTTGCATGTTTCCTTCCATGTAGTCTCTCTTGTTTGTTGCTGTTATTTGGCCATTTTGTAAATTGGTTTGGTAGCAGCGCCAAGTCCTGCCTCATGCAGATGATGGGGATCCTGAGCTTAGAGAGGCGGTGGGTTCCAAGGGGCTTCGGCCTGCGACGGCTCTTTCCTCGCGGCCTTGATGCCTAACGCCTAACGGGAGGCAGTAGTGCCGCGACAAGAGGGAGTTTCTTTGGGGTGCAACATGTGCATCCACTTGTTTGGTTACAACAACCATATAATCTATGATTACAACTTATAATGTATCATCTCCGCTTACAATTGAAACTGCACACTACTATTACTCTTTTGGATGGAATGCATCACCTCTTATAATGTATCATCTCCGCTTATAAATACTTATTATTACTAAAATAACTGCACATACATATATGCATTTGTCACTATACAACCTCGGCGAATGGAGAATCGAATTAAGGTTACAAGATACTGTGTCTGTCAGCCACTGGTAGTATACAGGTGCTTGCTCGGTTTCTCCGTGTATTAGCGCGACGCCGTTCCCACTTGTTCTTCCAGCTCTAGAGGGCGGGATGGTGTGTGTTAGTCAGCAAAATGCCTAGAAGGCTATATATAACTAACTGTTTTCGCTATGAGGCCCACATGATCTCGACTCCAACCGCCATGATGAATGTCGACGCATCCACCCATGTGTCGTGGGCCTTGTATCTTCATGTCAGATGTTTCTTCCAAAGTAATCACGCGTCAAAAGGATCCATCCACTCGTCATCTTCCCTTACGGCTTTTTCCCACCGTTCTTTGAACTTTTCCAGCTCAGCTGACGATTGTCTTCTAATCTGATGGTTGAAATAAGAGGAGTGCAATTGATGTTAGAAAATATGTAGGAGAAACATATTGATTTAGGTTGACAAGGAGAGAACATAGGTTATACTCACGTGTGTCCGCAGATCCAAAGATCTTCGAGGTAACTGTAGCAAGAAAGGAAATTGTTGATCAGATGATAATACTGGCAGTTATCTTGCAGGCATAGAGCAATCAAGGGTGGAAGGATGACCATCGAGTTAGATATCTAAACTGATACCCCATATTAAAAGATTTATCTGTGTGTTACTTGGTTGCAATTTAGATTTTGTAGCCTTAGAGATGAAACTGGAAACAAGAGACATTTTTTCTCTGTAATTTCATTTCATATCAGATTGTCACCAAAAGTATATACGGCATTTTACGAAAAATGTGACGACAAACAGACCTTGCTGGTATCTGATGGTCCTCCTAATGATGGTATCCCTTGATGGACGACATACTCACTGTCAATTACACCGACCTTCTCAGCTCGATCACCCTGAAATCACGTAGCACTACATGCATCAGTATTTTGGTTACTTATGATTCCTACAAACTCATGCCTAATAAAAGCATTAATCTTAATCTGGCAGATGATAGTTGAAACACCTGAAATAATTAAGCTGAAAAGTGACAGAAGAACACATCACAATAAAAATAATGGAACAAAACAAGACAGAAGTCACTAGTACTATCAGCTAGAGTACTAAAAGCCATCTTGTAATTCTTGGCCCATAAATTTGATCCTTAAGTTAGGACATGTATAGCTAAATTCGGTCCACAGGTGCCAAACACTGAAAACAGTGTAATCTTCCTAGAGTATACTAACAAACTACACATTTATAATAAAAAATAGCCAACTCATAAAAGGAAGTGATATGATGGTGAATTATAGCACAGCGTACTTGAAATGAAAAAAAAGGAAGAGAAATAGGTTGTAAAGCTTGAATAGAGCAAACTGCCATGGGATTTGAGCAATCTTAAGTACCTGAGCACAATAACCAAGCTTCATGTCAAGGCCCCATCCATGAATCAAGTCGTTCTGCAAGTTCAAGACATTAAAACTGGATGTGCTACGAAGAGTTATGACCCTCCAGTCACACTTAGTAGATCAGACGATATGATAGATTATCGAGTAGGTTAGATGTCAGAATTCGTACCTGTATTAGATGCCATACACATTTCCAGGCAGCCCGAGAAAAAACTGGTGCCATGCCCTCAACCCACCTACCAAAGAATGCTGAGTTACAATACTAGTAATCAATCGAGCTAGTTTATGAAAATGAGATCAGCAGAATTTGCTCAACAATCAATCAGTTGGATGATGTAACTTTATTTTGCTCACCACACACAAAAAAAATTGCTATCGAACAAAGCAGCATTTTGATTTTTGGCTCTACAATAGCTGATAAAAAAACATAAATCGGTTCAAAGAATATGACCGTAACTCTGTAATGTAACTGTCTTTTTCAATCACAGAATAATAATATATAGCGCAATTTAATACTCTTTGTCATTGGGCATGCTAAACAAGAGATCTAGAGAACAAACTATGATGGCCAAATATAATCTAGAATAGCCACAAAAATTACTATGCAATGCCAAAGCTTCAATTTTTACCCTGTGCATGGAGGTCCTTTACTATCATCAGAACAGTTCATGCTTGAACGATTGTCATATACTCTCCTGCAGAAAAAATGAAGAATTAAAAATGTTAGCGAATGCTTATACAAAAAGGATTAAGAAAATAATTCATATTCGGAGATGTGAGAATTGGAAAGACACAAGCACCTATGCACTTTTGTCATCTTGTTGCGGATTGTGATGCGGTGGTGAATATCTGTTGATAGATCAGGATCCAATGCAGGTTGTGTGATTTCTAAGCCTTCGGAAACCATTATATCAATATACCTAAACCGGCAACATGAAAATGAGAAGGTGTCGTTCAACAGAAAAAGCAACACGGCAGGATATATATTCTCAAAAGCAACGATAACCAAAGCCAAGTCAGTATCTACTTCAAGTATATTGTCAATGAAAAAAAATCACCCCAGCAGGAGTTTCAAGCTGAATGCATACTCCAAAATGTGCAAAATAACAATTATATCTCGCAAATAAGATTGTACATCTAGAACAAAAGAAACTGAACTATTGTCAAAATGGCAGTTTCATAATACTCAGGCCATCACAAAAATCAACATTTGCAAAATAAAAAAGGACCAATTTAACATAATGAAACAATATTGTGTGTCTCATACCTCTTCGGATCAAAGTTCTCCACTCCAAGGTCTTCATCCCATAAAAATATGAAATCGTAGATAGCCACGACACTAGGGTGCAGAAAACGCTTAGCAAACCACCTGCATAGGAACACTCGCTCATTCCAAATGTGGGTGATATACATAACGAGGTAAAAGAGACAGCAAGCTATCTGCGCCTGGGGCTTACCATTTAGTTTGGTTGGGCGCGACTATGTGTATGGCCTTATCGCTCCACTCGAGACTACGCCACCCATCCACATTCCCGTCATAATGGAACAGCATGACCGTGTAGCTCTCATTCAGAAACTAAAAAAAAATTAAAGCATAGTAGGGTGAGCCTCAAATCAGAACAGACAAAACCTTCCCTTACGAAACGAGAAAAGCAGTTGGCGTTAAAGGAGACGGACTCGAGAAGAAGAAGACGGACCTTACGAGCCATTACGTCCACATTCTGCATCTGCGAGATCCCGACCGCCATCGCCAGGAGAGCTTTGTGTCTATCATTCTTATTCTGCAGGCAAGGGTGAGCAGTGGTACGCACATATTAGAAACAGAATGGGCCAATGAGTCGGTCGCCTGCTAGGAGCTTGCAACTAGAATTGCGGATCCTAGAGGTTTGCGAATTATGATGCCGCTAAAGCAGCCGTCGAAGACAGGGACAAAACAGACAGGTGAACTGAGCTGAATTGAACTGACAGGACCAGCCGCAACACCGTACATGAACTACACTTGGAGCAGAGGTGAGTGAGAGGCAGTACTCTAAGGGGGCAGTTTGATCCATCCACTCAGCATGGTTCACTTGCAGCTAGTAAGTAAATAAACCAACTGATAATGAGTCGCAGTAACTGTAAGGAAACGATCCAGAGCAGAGTCAAGCTCAATTAACCGGTTTGCTAGCTAAAAGCTCAGATTGGCGTTGCCTTGAGGCAACCCCAAGGTTTGCGGCAAGGGGGCAGTTTCATTCATCCATTTGGTGTGGTTCAGTTTCAGATAAGAAACCCAGCCAATTCTAGGAAGCAACTGTAAGACGAGTAAGAGGACACTTTGATCCATTCATTTAGCATGGTTCACTTGCAGCCAGGTAAATGAACCGACCGATAACGAGTCGCGGTAGCTGTAAGCACAGGAGCCATGGCGTGGGCGGACTTAATTAACCGGTTCGGCACGCAAAATGCTGGAAACCGTCGCCGCGTTAAGAAGCTAGTATCTGTTACGTACTAAGGAACAGTTTCATTCATTCGTTCATCCATTCAGCGTGGTTCAGTTTCAGCTAAGAGACCCAACCAATTTTATTGATAATAATAACAGCAACTGTAAAAAGAGTAACAGTGACAGTAAAGGGGGGACGCCGGAGGAGGGGGAGGAGGGGCGGACCTTGGGGATGGCGCGGCTGGCGGCGGGGTCCCAGAGCGGGCGGAGGAACATGTCGGAGCTGGTCTGGACGATCCCGCGCGGCAGGCCCTCGGCGCCGGTCCGCCGGTTCCAGTTCCAGCGGGCCGCCGCCTTGCCGCCGCCGCTCCCACCCTCCCTCCGCTGCTGCTGCGTGGCGGTGGCCGCGGCGTAGTCGGACCTCCCGAGATCCACCTGGCGGAGGAACGCAGACCGGGGCTCGAGTGTCAGTCAGTGAGCGATTCGTTCAGGGCAGGGGAGCTAAAAATGGAAGGGGAAGGTGGTGCCTTGAGGTGGTGGTGGTGGATCTGGAGCGAGGTGATGACGATGAGCGCGACGAAGGCGGCCAGGTAGCCGCAGCCGCAGGGGCCGGCCCGGCGCGGCGGGATGGGCGGGTACTTCATCCCCGGCGCCGCCGGCCGTCTGTTGGCCCCTCCGCCCCCGCCGAGGGAGGGGAAGGCCGGGGCGCGCCGCGGAGGAGGAGGAGTCCTCGCCGGAGCGGGGTGGGGGTGCTGGGGAAGGAGGAAGGTTCTGGAGGGTTCTAGAAGGAGGCTAATGTAATGGCCCATTCATTTCATTATCCCGAAATGGGCCTTAAACAAATGGCGTCCTCGTACGCACGCCCGTCGCTTTTCGGTCGGCCTCCCATCCCACTGCCCGAGAGTGGGTGGGTGGGTGGGTGGGTGGGTCGGGCCCACCTGCCAGTGGCTCGGTCGGTGGCTTTCATTAGCGCGTGATGGTGTGGGACAGGTGGCAGTGAGCCGACGACGAGTACTTTTTGTGTGCTACGCGTGACGTGTTCCGTTTGCATGACGAGCCCTTCTTGGTTGGCTGACACGTGGAATCAGGCCACCACGTGTATCTCGAACTAAAATACATCGAGATAATTCCATATATGAGATTGAGTCATGGAAGGAAGGTAGAGCATGAGGAGAAAACCACATTCGTCTTCAACCGGTGGTGCCCACGACCACAGCTCCTGCCAACACCATAGAGGTTGGTTCGTAGGTTTGGTCCACGGGCGTTGACAGTGCTAACGAGGTCGGAATGGATGGGTGTTCTTGCGTCTCAACGTAGTATCTGGTTTGTCTTGGTTGGTGATTGATATGATAAACAAAAAAAATGAAAAAGTAGGAAATATACACGTTTATACCGTTGAGGTCCTTAGTTTAGTCAAGCCAGCCGCATAAAGGGATGTATGGATTCTCGAGAAGAGAGGAGCCCCGGTGCGACAACCTAGTTCCGACTTCACCCAATTAATTGAAGTCACCACCAAAGGCCTTTGTGGCACTAGTGGTACAAATAAGTCATGGGCGATCATTGGTCCGACGCTTCGGGAGAAACCAATTCTCAGGGTTCGATTACCAGGGCCCAGGTACATATCCACCACGACAAATGTTGAGCCGCGATTAGTAGCGATGCCGTGAAGAATGGCTAGTAGTCATAGCCGAGGGGTCTACCGCAGTAGTTATCAACATATCGTGCAAAAAATCGTGAAACAAGGTGATTTCATGATTACCTTTGTTAACAAGGTCAGAACATTGATTATGGGCACTGATGGTGGAAAGAAAAGAAGAAGAAAAAAACAAGCCAAAAGATGAAGGCGGTATCAGTATCAACATGACAATCCTGCGGACTACAAGACCTGGGTGGGTGGATGGGATGTGTGTGGATGAAGAGGAGATGATATTGGGAGACTAGGGCTGGGTGGGGATGAATCATCCATCATATCATACAGTAGCTACCGACAACCCACTCGTCTCGTGTCAACGGGAGGTGGGGCACCTTAATTTATCTTCCCAAAAAGCGTCAAGCCGTGAGCCGTCGACGTTGCTCTTTCCCTCGATCTCTCTCTCTCTCGGCTCAAGATGTATACTCAGAATGGAATAGTTTGGACACTCCTACACCAATCATGCGGCCGGTGCATTGCCATCTTTCTACCAACCAAACTCTACATCCTAGTACCAACAACACGCACGCGGCTACAGCATCACGGTTCAACGGCCTTGGCGATGATCCATTCACATGCCCAGCCAAATACTCCCTCCGATTCCAAATTATAACAAGGTTTTTAATACTACTACACTAGTGTCAAAAACGTTTTTATATTACGGGACGAAGGGAGTAACTGCATTCCTACCATCTGCACATACGCGGTCGGCGGTGCAACGGGTTTTGTTCGGCACAAGTCCATCACAGACGCTCATGCCCATCTGTCTCCTCCAGTGAAGTTACTAGCAGCTTGTTCGTGCACAAAAACATAGTCAGCAGCCAGCCGCCTTTCTTCTAGATACATCCATTTCTGAGACAAGTAATTCCAAACGGAGGGAGTAGTCCACACCTTCTTCTTCCTCTTCGCCGCCGTCTTCACCGGCTCCGACAGCCCACCAGAAACTGAATTCCTACTCCTACGTACCCCACCATCTGCGCTACTCTGCACCACGTACACACCTCCACCACCGTGCAACGGGAGCTCTTCTGTTGGTCGGGTCGGGTCATCATCAGCAGACACACTAATCTACCTCCTCCAGTGAATTAGTAGTTCACAGACTCCACACACAAAAAAATCCCATCCCCCGCCTCTTCTAAAACTTGAAGTCCACCTTCGTCCTCTTGGTCGCCGGCGACACCCAGCTGCTGCCTTCCCCGCCCACCAGCTTCCTCCTCATCTTTCCATTGCCCTTGCTCTCCTCCCCCAAAAGCTCCCTGTACCTGTCGATCACAACACCACTACGGTCACATAGTGCCGCAGGATTGCGACGGCGAGAGGCACTGGTCTTATCTTACTTGGCTGCCAGGGCGTCTTCTACGGCGTCGAGCTGGTCGGGGTGGATCGTGACGTTCACCCTCTCAAGCTTCTGCTTCTTAGCAGCAGCACCAGTGGCGGCACGGGGAAAAGGAAAGAAAAAAGAAAAGGCATAAACGTCAGAACCTCAACTAGCAAGTACATAGTGACTGTCAGGCAAGCAACGGGGTTCGATAACAGACGATGAGGGATGGAACTCCACTGCTCGGCTCACCCTTTTGCTTTTAGGGCCTGATGATGATGTTGATGTTGATGTCGACGGTTTATCTTGCGCTCCCACCAGCACGTACCTGTGATTAAAGCGAGAGTGCGCGTGCATGCATGCGGCGTCTGACTTTTATGGTTTTCATTTCAAAAGCTAAGCCGGGATCAATGGAGGATTGCATGATAAGGGTTGGGTTTGGGAGGCATGCGCATACCTGTGGCTCGACAAGTACAGCGCACCGGCAGAGGCCATCCTCCCTTCTTTCTGCTCAAGAATCTTCACATGCAAGAAAGAAACAGCAAATTGACGATTATCAGCAACGACTAGCAAACCCACACAGGGAGCACTTTGTTGATTATCAACAACTTGATCAGCAGCACTATGCTTTCTCGGACACACAGAGCACTTTACATCACCTGGTATGGTGGCTTTTCTGCCTGCTTCTCGGACTCCTTCCTCCACGGCTTCCGAAGGTCGATAACATCAGGTGTTTCCACACCAGCTGGAGTACTGCTGTCACAGCAACAAGGACAAGTTGATACTGGGTGCCTACTGCGCTATTTAATTGAAATAAAACAAAATGGTAACTGTCAACAGAAGAACACATGTATATATAATTACCTTGACATGGTGTAACCATTACCAGACCGGATGCCTTCTACTATTTCCCCATCTTCCAGTTCCTCCTCCTCCTTTTCCTCTTGCCGAATGCCATCTACAATTTCCCCCTCTTCCAGTTCCTCCTCCTCTTCCTCTTGCCGAATGCCTTCCACTATTTCCCCATCTTCCAGCTCCTCCTCCTCTTGCCGAATACCTTGTACTATTTCCCCATCTTCCAGCTCCTCTTCCGCATGCCGAGTAGCTTCTTCTATTTCCCCATCTTCCAGTTCCTCCTCCTCCAGCCCTTCCAGAGTGCCTTCTTCTATTCCCCCCTCTTCCAGTTCCTCTCCTCCTCCTCTTCTAGAGTGCTTTTTTCTATTCCCCCATCTTCCAGTACCTCATCCTCTTCTTCCTCTTCTAGAATGCCTTTTTCTATTTTCCCATCTTCCAATTCCTCCTCTTCCTCTTCTAGAATGCC